TACATACATACATACATACATACATACATACATACATACATACATACATACATACATACATACGTACACACACACATACACACAAACTTGAATATAAGCGAATTACTCAAAACTTGGTATATTCATCTAAATCTGAATTTTTTATTTTCATAAGCAAAGTCTGTGGGTTTTGTTGACAGGACTGAGTTCTAGCTCTGATAAAGTCCGACAATAGGAGGGACGGTAACTCAGTCCATTTGTATCCAAAACGAGGAAGGCCTGCGTCAACCCGAACAACGGCATAACAACGCAACACAGTCGCCGTCTTCTGGCAAGATCGACCAACGAATCTCTTCATTGTGCACTTCTTATACGAAATGAAAGTCTCCACATCAAGGCTTCTGACCGGCAAGTGTGAGCATCCCGTCTCTCTTACCATCCCATACGACCAAACATGCGTGCATATAGGCACACACGCTTACAGAGAAAGAAAGAAAGAGAGAGAGAGAGAGAGGCAAAAGCAAAACATGAACATGGTGGTCATTTGGAGGTTGGATAAGTGAAGCCGAGTGAAGCATAACCGCCAAAAAGACGCAAAAGGATATGGAACCCATTCAGTTGGGCGGCAGGAAATGCAACCACGTGAATGGGGGGTCTCCGGAAGGCCCGACTGCTGTATGGCGGGGTTGTAAACTGGAGGCATAAATGAATGTGCTGAGAGTTGAACTGCTCAAAGAAGATAGGCGAGAGGCAAAAAAACTTGATATTGTTTGATTTAATGAATATACACATGTTAAGAAGATGTCTGTAAGTTTGTGTTTTTCAAAGTGTGCTTGTGCGTGTGCGCATGTCGTGTGTGTGTGTGTGAGGGGGGAGGGGGGTGGTACAACCACCTGTGGGTGTGTAATAACAAGGTTGTCTGTCTTGAGCCGCATGTAGCCCCAATAACTCTGTTCTCCACTTTTTGTCACCACCACGTACATGCTGTACGTACTGAACAAACTACGTGCTACTGCTGCAACAGTTATCAAATAAAGAGTATGCGGCTTTTTAATGGTGAATCGGAGTTGCCAGGCGAGGAGAATAGAGAAATAAATAATAGCCTTTCAATCTGCATGACCTACAGCATGGAGAGAGAAACGTACACACACAGGAGAGAGCGAGGAAGTTTGTGTGTGTGTGTGATAGAAGGGCGGCAATCGGCAGGTCAAAGTGAGTCGAGATAGCTCTGGCCTCATGTGATCCATCTTTAAATCGTCATTTAGAAATAAGTTTCCGAGGCTACCGGCAGATCGTATATTTGAGATGCATTCAGCCTATTTCGTTTAAGGTTATGAAGGAGTGGTAGTTGAATTTTCTCACAATCGCATGTTTCCATGGCTAATTTGGAAAACCAACTTATAATCGAGTAATGGGTAATGCAACTGAGGGATATAGCAAATAGAAGTTTGTTTCATTGACACTCCTCCAACATGATCTGACATGGGAAAATGCCTGACCCTGCTTGAAATTCGCATCCGTCCTGTCGTGGTGGTTGACGCTGGACTGTCATGTTTCGACTGCTGTCGAGGATGCTGATGAAACTAGTTCAGGCGGGCACGAAACTGAAGTGAAATTGAATGGAAACTCATCAGATTGTTGGAAAATGCTACGTCCATTCAGGCATTCATCAGTTTTTAAACGAATTTGGTGGAATAGAACGCATGTAAAGATAAGTTGCATTTCGAGGAGTTGTTGTTGTGAGCAATTGCAATTCGCCTGAA